TGGTTGTCTTTTGTCTTTTTAAGAGTCATTGTGAAAATGTATTGCATTCTGTGCCCTACTCCACCAGATAACCCTGCATCAGTTGGGGTACTCTCAGCTACAGTTCACACTTTAAGAAACTTAAACAATAAGGAAATGAATTATATTTCATAGCAAGAACTTAAGAAGTAGGGAATGCCAGACAGGGCTGGTTCATTCAAGAAAGTTATCAAGGATCTGAGTTTCTGTCTTCCTGCTTTGCCTGCCTCGGTGTCATCTACTCCCTCATGATAACAAGATGGCTGCAACAGCTCCAGCCATCACCTGTTCTCACATCTGTGTCCAAAGGCAGAAGGAAGTTTCTGTGTGTGTGCGTGTGTGTCTGTGTGTGTGTGTGTTTTAAGAGCAGGTAACCCAGTTCTTGTCACATTTCATTGGTCAAAATTGTCACATGCCTATATGACCATGTTACATGTCTATGTCTAAAACAGTCCTTAGCAAGGAAGATGAAATTACTCTGATGGGCTTAGATTCATCAAGATTATCCTCTGAATTGGGGAGGAGCCTTGTCCCTGGACATGTAGACTCTAAAAGGGTGAACACTAAAACAAAATCAGATCTTGGGAAGTGTAGCAGAGCGGGGGATAGATTTGAGTAGATTTGAGTAGGCCACCAATAGCATTGTCTCTGAACCCCACACGTCTGTTCTTGTTTTATTTTTTCTTTTAAAAGCCAGAATATTGCATTACTGATGAGTGTGGAGTTGAGGGAGGGGTGGTTGTTATTCGTTTGTTTGTTAAGAAAAATGCCATCTCATCTCTCCCATTCCCTGACTTCTTTATTACCTGTCCTATTTTGCAGCTGAAACGTTCCCACCTTTGTTTACCTCTTCAAGTGTATCTGTCCTTCCATTATTTTTCCAGCTCAGTTGCCAGCAGAATGCTGAACAGTCTGGATAAATGAAACCGAGCTGACAGGTCTCTTAATGAAAGCTTGTTTGCACACTGCATTTCTTGTGATCGCTCTGTACCTGGGAGCCTTTAGGTGTGGATTTTTACATATAAGTGTTTGTCATTCTTCTAATTAAGGCCTGTGGAAATGGATTGGTTTTTGTAAACCAGACATTTCTCATCCCTACCTCCTCTTTCCATGCCTCCTCTGCACCTTCCTCTCCCCCTCCCCCTTTCTCCTTCTCCTGGAACAGCCTCTGTCGTTAGGAGGCCCCTGATGGCATTCAGCTCAATCCCTGCTGGAACCTGCTCCTAGTTGGCAGTCTTAAGGAAGCGAAATTCATTTTCCAATCATTTTTCCTCTTTCTGTGCCCTCACTCCCAGACACACACCACCATCATGACTTGAAGCTCTAAAAAACGAGTTCTAGTATCAGTCATTCATGTGTTGGAGTGAATTTGGGGATGTGTTATTCCTTCTGGGAGCATTTGCACCCCAGCTCACCATCTGAATTTTTCCAAATGGACGTCCAATCTTCTCTCTAAAGAATTTCGAAGACCAGCTACTTGCTCATTGGGGTTACCTTTCCTGTCTCTTTCAAATCACAGCATGCCTTTGCCACTCTTGGTTTCCTCTAAAACCTGTGGCTCTCTCCTGGCTGGATTGTTTCCTGTAGCCCTGTGACTTGATACCTTATTTCTCTTTGAAGAAGGTCTCTATCTGAGTCCCTTCCATCTCTGCCCCTCTGCTTTCATTTTGGAAGCCTCCATTTGGAGCAATCTTCCTCCTTAATAATACTGAGGGTACCTTCATATGGCTCAGTTAGGATGTCAAAAAGCCAAAGGATTCCCCTCAACTCACTACATTAATATATTCCTTGTTTTCCAGATGTCTTTCTGAACAGAGAAAAATTTGTACATTCTACAGATGCAATAGAGAACGAGGCAGTGAATCTAATTAGGAATAAGCAGAAAAATAAGAAGGACCCATCTCTCGATATTACGGTTGTTCACAAAAACAAAACCAAACAAGTTGATGCAGCCTGAAGGTAATTTAAAACGATAGCTATAGGTGTGTCGCCTTACATTTCATAACACCTCTTTACCAAATGAGGATTTCTTTTTCAGATTCTTAGGGAAAGTTTGCATAATACTGACAAGTATGATTTTCTGGAATCTATATGAGCCCCGGAATATATTTTGGGATCTTGGCAAAGGCCAGGGATAGCCTATTAAATTTAAAACAACGGACTTAAAAAAAAAAAAGAAAAAAAAAGCAGATCAACTGCTGTTTTGTAATTTGATTTAAACAAAGTAACTTCTATTCAGTTGTAGACCTTGATTTAGTGGATCTATGATCATCATGTGTCATAACTGTATCTTTTCTGTTACCTGAAATTAAAATGTAATTATCCTGATGTCGGTGATTAATCATTGGTATTATTTACATTATCCTCCTCCCACCCTCGCCGGAGGCCGAGGCTAGACTGAGCAGAGCTTTTAGCATATTGCAGCAACTTATCACTTGCAATCCGTCCCTAAAATTTTTAGATCATATGCTAGTCGTGAAAAATATGGCGCATGTAAAGATTTTATGCATTCAGTCAAAAACGCCAGATCTAAAATCAGTTAGTTAATTTCCTGCCATCTTTCAAGTTGACCAAAGCACTCACTGATTTGCTCTATTTTCTTACGTTTTTAGTATTTCTGTATATACACGCACTGAAAAGCCCCACTTGGAAGAAAAATTCACTGCAATTCGGAGAAAAAGCTTATCCTAAACATCTAAAGATAGCGTTTCTAATTATTGTCGACATTGTGTTTAAACTGTGCAAACTGGAGCATTATTCTCACTTTACCAGCTGCGTCTAGGTAGAGTCATTACATCAAACGCTTCTAATTTTACAAAAAGAAATCAAAACAAGTGTGTGTTTAAGTCTCAGTGACAAACGCAAACCCTGTGAGTCAAATAGGCAAACTGATTAGCAAGCTGGCTGGGAAGTCAAAACAGCAAATATAAGAAGATTAACAAAATAGATCTGTAAGAGGAGAGGAGTAAAAATAGCCTCCAGGGGCCAAATGGGGTCCTGTGGGCGGGTCTGGTGGCACACATCCGGTTCTGTGCAGGAACCAGATGCCTGCCCTTACGGGCACCAGTCTTTCCTTCATCTTGGCCCCTCCCCCCAAGAGTTGGGATCACAGAATTCATCTCAGCTGGCCTCTTAATGGATGCGGAAATCCTTCTTCCAAACTGAAGAGGTAGCAGCCTTGCCTTTACTTGAATCCTTCTAGTGACACGACACTCACTACCTTTCAAGGTTGTCCAATCCATGACTAGGTAGCTATTTTTGACCTTAGCCATTCATTAGCTCCTTAGGCCTTCACGCTATGCTATACACCTCTCATGAGTAACTCTTGATTTAATCTTCACAACAGTCCAATGCGATAGTCTTCTTTTACAGATGAGAGAGCTCAGGCCCAGAGAGGTGAAGTGACTTGCCCAGGTCACACAGCTTATAAGTGTGGCTGAGCTGAGGTTCCAAACAGGCCTTTCTACCTCAGCCTAAACTTTCAGCCCCTGTGCTATATACATTCCTGGCCCTTACAGTGAACTGTAACTTGCCCCTCTATTATTTCCTCTCTTTGTTTCTTGGCTCTGGAGCCCCATAGAATAGTTTATCAATCCCATTCCCATGAATGGACACGACAGAAATGAAGCAGATCTGCGAGGGTATTTCTTCAGTCTGTGGGGGGGTCAAGGGTAGTGAAGAGAGAAACTAAAAACAGAAGGTGCTGTGGTCTGAACGTTTGTGTTCCCCCCAAAATTCATATGTTGAAATCCTAACCCCCAAATATGATGGTATTAGAAGGTGAGACCTTTGGTAGGGGGTCCCAAGGTCATGAAGGGGGAGCCCTCATGAATGAGGTTGCTGCCTTAAAAAAGGCTTGAAAGAGATCCCTCTTCCCTTCTACCACGTGATAACACTGCAAAGAGGTATGGGCTATGAGTCCCAAAGAGGGCTCTCACTGACGATGCTGGCACCCTGATCTTGGACTCCCAGTCTCCAGAACTGTGAGATAAATTTCTATTGTTTATGAGCTACCCAGTCTCCAGTATTTTGTGACAGCAGCCTGAACAGACCAAGACGGAAGACAAGCAATGAGAAGCACCAGCCCCCTTCTGAAAACTAAATGCAAACTTCCCTTGATGATCCTGAATTAACCTATAATCTGGGCAGCAGAGTCGAAGACGGGGTGTTGGCTTTTTATTCCTGTCCATCGTGTGTTCCTATGTAATTGCTGCCTTGTTTTCACAACTTTTAATTGCGGGGGTAGGCAAATGCCTCTATGTGAAATCAGGATATTTAAAGACTCAGTTTGCTAATTCCCTTTTCAGTGCCGACCCGTACATTTCAAATTAATATTTCAAACCATTACTGAACCAAACTTGGTACCGCTCGCCTGACATGCGGTAAAGCCAATCTACTGACACTGCCTCGTGGTGAGGGAAAGTACAGTGTTTATTGCAAGGCACCCAACGTGGGACCAAGCAAGGAGAACGGGCAGCTCATGCTCAGAAGACCCAAAGGCCCTGATAGCTTTCAGGGAAGGGTTAAAGGCAAGGTGAGGGAGAGGGTCACAGGGTGCACGATCAGCTCGTGGACATCCTTCTGGTTGGTTGGTGATGAGGACAGGGTGATGTTTCAGGAATCTCAGTCATCAACCTTCTGGTTCCAACCGGTCTGGGGTCTACGTGCTGGTGGTCAGCATGCTGTTAACTTCTTCCACCTGGTGAGGGTTTTAGTATCTGTAAAACAGCTCAAGGATATGGCTCAGGATATTCTCTATAGCACTTGAGGAGGAACTAAAGGTCCTTGACTTTGTTTTATAACTAGACTATTATTGTCTTGCTTGACTGTTTTCCTTTGTTTCTGCATTTTCTCACTTCTCTGATTAAATTTGCTCTCTGGAACCTGGGGAAGGCCTAGGAGGCTAGAGCTTTTATACAAACTGGTGTGTGTGGGGGGGGGGGGGGGGTGGGACACAAGGGGTCTGTCCCTGGGAAGGCCTCGCAGAGTCCTGCTCCGTTTCAAAACCAGTGAGAACCAGTTGGTGGAGCAAATTCACCAGGCAATAGCCTTTCTTCCCACTTGTCGCTTGGGCTCAAGGAAAGGGTTTTAAATGACAAGGTAGTCCTAGTAAGAGGTAAAAATAACCACTGGGGATGGCTTTCTGGCTAAGGTTCAGTTTGACTCACTGCCTTAAGAGTCTGGGAGAGACAGAAGCTGCCCTGAGGAACCAGGGTGGGAAAGCCACAGCTAGGAAGTGGGTCTACCCCAGGATGGGTACTTCAGCAAGTGAAGGTGAATGCACAAGACTGATCTAGTCTGTGTATAGATTATAATTTTCACAGAGAGAGGCAGAACCTCCATCAAGCCTTAATTAAGACCAACCTGCCTTTGGACCCCACCGCTTCCAACTGCTTTTGTATCAAGAAGCCAAGAAGGGCATTGTCCTGGTTGTGGAGAAAGCCGACAACTTTAGATACCAACACCAACCTCCCTATAACTTGCCCAGGGACACTGCCTCACTGGCCCTGTCTCCGCCATCTGGGAAATGGACCTCAGGCTTCCCACAGAGGCAGATGTGAGAGGCCACTGGGCCCAGTGAGTTGGTGTACCGCTCATGCCAGGCCAGTGGCTCCAGCATCAGAATCACTGGGAAGCTTGTTGCAAATAGATTTTCTCCTCTCCCTTTGGATTCTACAGCTTTGGCATGTGGCCCAGGAAGCTGTATTTTTTTTTCCCATTTCCCTAAGTGATCCTGGTTTCCTCCCTCTTGCGAGCCACACCCCAAAGGCATGATGATCAGTGACTGAGCCTTGCAGCCAACAGAGCTGGGCAGGGGAGAAGAAGTCCTAAGAGGTTTGGGAAACATCTTTGCCATTCCCCAAAAAATAGCTGAGTGGGGAGAGAAGCCTCAAATAAACCAAAACAGTAACCAAGGCCCCCATGCAGTACTGAATTGCTAAGTTTTTAATGTGCAACACGAAGACTGCCAAACAGCCCACAAAGGAGCAGCTCTCTGGGGTGTGGGGCTGGGGGAATAGCTGGAGACACCGGGCAGGGGCGCCAGGCTGCACTGCACATGCTGGGGAGGGGGAGGGGGAGAGGCAACCTCAGGAGGGGTCTCAGACTGCCTAGGAGGAACCTAAAGTGGGTGGGGGTAGGTAGGTTCTTAGGGCATTGAGGGATCTCAGGGCTCACAGGGTGAGGGCAGGGTTGCCAGGGTGGAAGGGGGGGAGTCTGGAAGACCCTCAGGGTAAATCTCTGGGGGTCCTCAGAGCTCAGGGTGCCCTCTGGATGAAAGGGGGTGTCTCAGTATACATGGTTTGAGACCTCAGGGTGGAGGGGATTTTCGGGGAGACCCTAGCCATGGCAAAAGTGGTACCTCAGAGTAGGGAGTGTCTCTGGGAGCAAAAGGAGAAAAATCAAGATGAGAAGGTGGGGACTTGGGTCACACGGAGGGGATCTTGGGCACTTGGAGAGGTGTCAGGGTGTAGAGGTGTCCCAGGGTTCTTGGAGTGGTGTCGAGGCATGGAGGGATCCTGGGATGTGTAGAAGGGGTCCTGGGTCACATGGAGGGCATCTTGGGCACTTGGAGGAGAGTCAGGGTGTAGAGGAGATCCTGGGGCACTTGGAGGGGTGTCAGGGTGTAGAAGGGGTCTCAGGATGCTTGGAAGAGGTGTCACAGAACAGACAGATCCACGTAGAGGGGGCCCTGGGCCACATGGAGGGAATCTCAGGAGTTTGGAGAGGTGTCAGGCGTAGAGGGGTCTTGGGGTACTCGGAGGGGATCTCAGGCACTTGTAGGGGTGTCAGGGCATGGAGGGGCTCCCAGGGCACATGGAACGGGTCTGGGGCGTGGAGGGAGCTCTCGGGGCGCCCGGGTGGGGGGCTCAGCTGGCCTTGCACTCGCTCTCTCGCCGCCGCTTCTTGCGCTCCGCGTGCTCCTGTGCCTGGCGCGCCCAGGGCCCCGGCCCGCACAGGCCCACCACGCAGCAGGCGAGCCGGCGGCCCGCGTTGCCGTTCTCCAGGCTGGCCTGGTTGCCACCGCGGCCCAGGTCATCCTCGCCCTCGTGGATCACTACGGCGCGGCCCGCGATCGAGTGCGGGCCGAAGAGCGAGGCGGCCAGGCCGGAGCGGTACTTCCAGATTTGGCCGTCGCGCACCACGAAGTTGCCGAAGTCGCCCGGGTGCTGCGGGTGCGGCACGGCCAGCGGGTTGTAGTGCGCGCCGGTGGAGTCGCAGCCCTGGCTCAGGTCCCCGAACTGGTGCACGTGGATGGCGCGGCTGGTGCCGTTGGGCTCGGCCGGGAACCCCTCCAGGTGGAAGAAGGCCTCGAGCAAGGCGCCGGGCCGCAGCTGCCGGAAGAGCACGACGCCGCTCACCCGGGGCTGCGCCGCATCCAGTGTGGCCGACGGCAGCACCGGGCAGGTGGCGTGGAGCGCGGCGTCCTGGCCTCCGCCCACCGCCCACCATTGCGTCAGCTCCCGCCAGATCTCCATCACTTTGGCGTGCATGTCGCGGATCTGCTCCTGAATGCGGGAGCCGGGCTGCTCCAGGTCCGGGTCGGCGGAGACTTCCGAGGCGCGGGATGTCAGGAGCAGGTAGGCACAGAGCAGCGCCAGCATGGCCGGAGTCGGGCACCTGCGGGCACCCCCGGGGGTGGGGGCAGAGCGAGACTTAGTCACTGGAAACCTGGAATCCCAGGGACCCCGGTGCCCTTGAATCCAAACGCTTCCTGCCAAGGGGCTTCCTTGCCTAGCGTGCTTTTTGTTCTTTCGGCCCCTGTCTCTTCAGGGCCTGCTGCATTCCAGGAACTGTGTTAGGTGCTGTGGTTGTAAAGATGGATGGGACATAATCTCAAGAAACTCAGGAGGATCTTTCTGAGCCACAAATCTGATCACGGTCCTCCCAAGTCCCATCTCCATAGCGTGGGGAGTCCAGGACAATTGGCCCGGGGTGGGGGGTTGTCTCAGGATACACGAGCGAGGCTCTCACGGCCCTTTCAGATGTCCTCCCTCTCCTTATCTCTGCCCCTCATCTTCTGCTGCTCTCTTTCTGCATCCTCTCTTACACAGGCAGCATAAGGCTCGCTGCCGCGCTTCTTGCACTTGCGGTGCCTTCTCTCTGAAGTGCCCTATCCCTTCTTCTCTGCCATGCTCAGTAGACTAAAGCTAGAAACTCAGTTTTATTCATCAGTGTCCATAGCATCTGGGCCTGCACTTGGCAGTAGGACACGTTTAATATGTGAAGGTTGAATGAGGAGTTCACTGACAGACAGATGTGTCATCAGATCATTCCAATGCCATCCTGTAACTGAAGATAGAGCCTTGTTCTGGGGAAGGACAGAGTAAGGAGTGCCCATCTCACTGGGAGACTCCAGGAGGGCTTCCCAGAGGAGGTGACTTTTAAGGGTCCCACAAGACGAGGAGTTTTTCAGCCAAGCCAGGTCAGAAGTCCATTTCAGGCAGGAGGCACAACATGATGTGTTCACAGGCTGTGAAGGGACACAGTTCGTTTTGGGGATGGGGTAATTCAGTGTGGCTGGAACATGGCCTGTGCCACCAGAGAGGAGTCGAGGCTGAAGAGGGAACGCTGAGCCAGGGATGGAAGGGCTGGCTTTTCTGTACTAAGGTGTGTGGTTATTAGCCAGGAGGCTAGTGCTGGTGGAAGTTTTTAAGCAGAAAAGTGAGTGTTGAGATAGTTTTTAGTTCATTAAGTCTGGCAGGAGAAAGGATGTGGGCTGGATTTGGGGAATAGAGAGGACAGGGGAGAAGGACAAGAAGAAATGGAGACACAGCAGAGAAACAGAGGTAGTCAGAGGGTGATGTGTTAGGAGGCAGCAGCAGCGATCCAGATCAGAAATGGTGAAGGCTTTTACCAAGGTGGAGGCAGCATGGATACAGGAGACATTTTGGGTACCACTGGCAGTGGGGAAGAGGAGTTGAGGATGACTGAGTTCCCAGCAGGGGAGACTGGGTGATGGATGGTGGTACCAGGCCCCGAGAAGAAGGGAGAGAGGGCAAGTTCAACCCGAGCCTGCTGAGATGCGAGATCCCAGGTGGGATGTTCAGCAGATGGTTGTAAATGGGGCTTCTGGCCTTTGTAAGAGGCAGTGTAACTGGGAGGGGTTCTCAGTGTCGGCTGCACATCAGATTCTGGTTCTTAAAGTTCAGACGCCCAGGCACCACCCTAAGGGATTCTGATTCAGTGGGCATGAGTTGCTCTGTTTTGTTTAAAGCTCCATCAAAGATTCTGGGACCCAACCAGGAATTTTATGGTGAGACACATATACCATATTGCATAACCGCAATATCATGGGGGAAGTTACTGACTCTCTCTTAGCTGTAAAACAAGGCTGGTAAGACCACCAAGGGCCACCAGGAGGTGTAAACGAGATATGAGATGCCAGGCTATTTTCACATTTTTCAGTCTGCCCACAGGGATCAATGCTGCCTCCAAAGAGCTGGTTTGAGGGTCAACTGCACTTTCAAAGGCCTTCTCCAACCCCCAAGCAGGTGCCATTTTAAAATTAAATTCTGGGGTTGAGTGTTTATTCTTTCCATAACCATTACAGGAATGCAGTCTAGTGTGGTGATTAAAGAATGGATTCCGGAACTCACTGGGCTCACTGGCCTGACTCTGCCACTTCACTTACTCTTTAAGAGTTAGCATAATTGTTATTTTGGTTACAGAGTAGCAGAGAAAATGCCGGACTGCAAACTCTAGCTGGGCTCCCCCTCTTCTCTGAGCCTCAGTTTTCTTATCGCAAATAGAGATAATAATACTTACCTTGGAGTCTTGCTGTGAGGCTTAAAAGACACAATTAGAATTGCCAGCATTTACTGAACACCCTTAAAGGCACTGTTAAAAGCATTTAGCATGTGTTAATTCATTTAAGCCTCACAAAAACCCTCTGGGGTGGGTGCATTGTTATGCCCATTCTAAAGTGCAGGAAACTGAGGCACAGAAAGGCAGGTGTCTTGCCTGTGGTTACACATACAATAATAGCTGAGGCAGGATTTGAAAAGGTGTGGTCTGCTCCAAGCCCAAGGTTTAGGCACTACACTGAACAGCTCTTATCAAGGCACTTAGCCCAGAGCCTGCTACATAGAAAATTCCCGGTAAATGGCAGCTCTTAGCTATCAGAGAGAAACTGCAGATAGGGATTTCAGGACCATCAGCTGAAAGATGCTATTGCAGCCCTGGGAGGAGGAGGTGGCCAGGAAGGGCTCCAAGAAGGAGTGACAAGTAGGAGGAGAAGTCCAGAAAGTGACATCAAGGGAACCCCCTCTGATGTGGCCTGGTTACTACGCTGAAGCCCCAGGGAGTGGGGGGTGGGAATGGAGGAGCATCCCTGAGGCCAGACCTTGGCTTCAAGGTCTCCATCATCACCCACCACCCCTCTCCTTCTGAACCGGTCGTGGCCCTCAGGTGGGCTCTGCCGATCGGAAGGTACTTCCTTAAAAACATACAGCAAGGACAGATTGTTTTGGGTGTGTCCACAAAGCTTTCTTTTCCAAGAATGCTTGGGTCATAATGAACACTTGAAGGAGATGTTTTTCTCTTAAAAAGAGAATTCTTCTTAAATCCCAGGTAAACCCTGACTCCTTGGGTCTTATTAAGCTTTTCACTCTAGCCCTCAAGGCCCGCCTGCATAAGGCTCACCCTTCTGGCTCAGTCTGTCACTCAGTTTGAGCTGTGGATGACCGAGTGGTTTTTGGAGGGCCCGCTTGGTCCAGAGGGGAGAACATAGTTATCAGAGACAGGGGACAAAGCAAGCCTCCGGGCCGGTGCCTCCTTCCTGGGTCTGGGTCTGGGAAGACTGCGGCCCCCGCGAAGGCTGTGGTGTGTTCTAATGCCTGGGCGCCCTCCGAGAAGGGGTCCCAGCTATGCGCCTGAGGCAGCCAGGCCCTCCCTTTGTGCCTCCCCTAAGCAGGTGGCTTTTCCTCACCACCCATGCAGGCAACATCCAGAAACATCCGTCTTCCTCACTCCAGATTTCTTTTTTCTCTAACCCGGAGGACGCTGAGGTCCTCTCGGCCTGGCATTAGCAGATCCGAGACCAGTCAGTTTCTCCTCCCGGGTTGCCCTCCTCACCCCTCTCCCCGCCTCCCCACTCCTCTGCTTTACAGCAGCTGGGCTCTGTCAAGAAGCGTTTTTAGATAGCCAGTGGGAAGCAGCCACCTAACACAGGGAGATCAGCTCGGTGCTTTGTGACCACCTGGAGGGGTGGGATAGGGAGAGTGGGAGGGAGACGCAAGAGGGAGGACATATGGGAACACATGTATATGTATAACTGATTCACTTTGTTATAAAGCAGAAACTAACACACCATTGTAAAGCAATTATACTCCAATAAAGATGTTAAAAAAAAAGAAGAAGAAGAAGCGCGTTTCTCTCCCACGAAAATGATCATATCCTTCTCCTGGGAGAGGCTGGATGCCCCGCCCCAGTTTCAAACTCAGTAAGCACACTCCGAGAAGAACGAAATGAACCTCGACTTCGCACTCACCTTTCCAGCTCTTCCAAGAGAGCTTTCCCTCCTGAGACCTGGGGAGCAGTACCCCGCCAGCCGCCAGCCGGTCGCAGGAACTCGGAGCGGGCTCCTGGGCTGTTTGTGGCCGCGCAGGGCAGCCTCGCGGGGCGTGGTCACCGCGAGGAAAGAAAGTCATTGGGTCGGTTTAGGGAGGGAAGGCGGCTAGGCAGTCCTTGTTGTGGAATTGCCTCACCTCCTCCAGCTCTGTCACCTCCCCCCCAGCCCCGCGTTCCCTAGCCAAGTATTCCTTTTCGTGACTTCACTGGTTTGTGCAGACGTAGCAAGTGACCTTCAGGGTGTAGCAGCGGAATAAAAAGTAGACCGAAAATAGCCTGTTTGGAGACGTGTACAATGGTCTCTTTCTTGAGAGGCCCTTTGCTCTCCCCTGATTTCCTCAGCTATTGATTTATTTTTGCTGGATGCATCTAAGATGGAAACGGACGCCCGCAAATATGCGTGATGTTTCCTCCAGAACTGTGCGGCCACACCTGTGAGAGGTGAGACGCAGGCGGGGACTCAGGCTGCAGAGTGTCAGCTGTGTCACTTCCTAAGGATGTGCTCCTGGACCAACTCCCTGTGCCTCTGTTTCATCATCTGTAAAATGGGGAGGCGAGGCTAACCCGATGCCCCAAACGTTATCACTCTCATCGTGTTCTCGCTCCCTTATTGAAGTTATGGAAGAGTCTTTTAAAAGAGTGTGGTCTGAGGCACCCATGAATCTTTCCCTCCCCCAAGGCCCTTTCTTCCTTTGCGGCCATGATCTTTTCTCAATCACAGCAGCTCTTTCCAAAAGGAGCTTTTTTCCCCGGAAAAGTCCACATGGGAAAAGGCAGCCTGCCTGTCTGCTTGTCTGCCTGCCAACCTCCCTTCAATAAATGCTTAGTGGGTGCTCGCTCCATTGTGTGCTGGTACCCAAACCCGGGAGAGTCCCTGCCCTCTGGGGTTCATACTCTGGGGAGGGAACAGCGGTGTCAACAGATCCATCCAGTACAGAGTGGGGACTGTAGCTGGGGAGGGATGGACAGGGTCCCTAAAGACCCAAACATTAGTCCTGGCCGCAGGACAGCTTGTTCAAAATCTAGACTTCCAGGCACCATCGCAGGCTGAGTGAATCGATTACCAGCAAGGGCTTTCTGGAATCATCTTTTTAAAAGCTGGTTATTCTGGGGTACAACCGTGTTTGGGAACCTCTACTTGGCAGGAAGAAAAACTAAAGATCTTTGTCCCGGGGCAGACATTTCGCAAGATAAGGTGGAGACTTCTGAGAACTCAGAGCCTCCAGCCCTCTGTCCCCGACATCAGTCCTTCTGGCTCACTGGGAACTCAGGCACCATCAGCTCAATCCATGCCTCTCTGCGTTCTGTTGATGGGCGTAGGTGCCTTTGACTAATGGCTTTTCCAAATTCCAGATGCTGCCCGCCACTCTGCCCCACCCTGAAACATCTGGTTTCTCTTTGTGACTTTCATCCAACTAAAAATAATCTGTATTTCATTTAGTTCTTGAAGTAATAATTATATCAGTTTGTAACTACTGTATCCGGTGGCACTTAACCTAATTTTATTTCTTTTAAGGGCCAAGAAAGATTTCCTCCATTACGGTATTCCAGGATTGATATTAAAGTCCATATTCACTTTCCTTTTTATGGCATTCTAGGGGAAATTTGCTTTTTCTCCCACCCGACCCCACCAACATTCATGGCCCTTTCCTTTGGCAACTGCACACCACTTTCCTGCTTGGAAACCACTGCGTTTTCAGTCCATGCAAGTGGTGTTGATTAACCCCTTGCTCCAGAGGTGGGCTCCTGACCAGTCATAACATTGCATTGGTTCTGGGATAATCCATTCAGAGCCAGTGAGATTCAATGACATTTTTGCTGGGACTGTTGTAAGAGAGGTATCTTCTCTTTCCCAGTGGACTTGAAACTGGAGGAGAAAGAGTGGAGTTATTTCAGCCCCTAAGGGAGAATCTGTCTGAGGATAGGGCCAATGGAGGGAAGTGGAATAAAAGTAGAGTGAAATTTGGACCTAATTGCAGTGTTTGAGCCCCTGGATCCAGCTGTACCTGAAACTCTGTTTTCTTTATGTGAGTCAAATATATTCTCTTTTTGCTTAAGTTGTTTGGGTTGCAATTTCTGCACTTGGAAGTGAACACTTTATTTAATGCTTGCAATAATTTTGTGGGATGGGTGTTAATTTGCCCACTTTGTAGATAAGGAAAGGAGGTTCAGAAAGAATAATTATGCTTTCTGAATAATAGGTCACTTATATTTCAATTAAGAAAAAAAAAAGAAGTAATAGGCCCAAAGTTTCAGAGCTATAAAATGGCAAAGTCAAAATTTAAACTCAAGGTTCTCCGATTCCTAATCCTGGCCCCTTAATCATTACACTTTATTACCTTCCAGTCTAAAGGGGAGATGAAAGAAAAGTTAGAAACAACAAATGAGCCTACACCTCACAGTTATCTCTGTAACATCAGTGACTGCCTTGCAAACAAGACACCTACACTGACCTCTGTTCTTTCCCCAGTGTTAATGTGTAATACAACAGAAAATCAAGCAAACGTTGTAAATCAGCCATTATTAGGAGATGCATTCAAAAGCACTTCTATCTGTATAGACGAGATCTCTGCTAGAGAACCTGGTAGTTCTTTTATGCAGGGATATCAATTGTAAATAACTTCCTTTTCATTGTGTTCAAAAAACTGATAGGATTAAATTCTACCAGGAAATAAAGTGGTTACCATGAGGAGAAAGCTTTGAAAGCAACAATTATGGTTGCAGGTTTCATCCCTAGAAGGCCAGGTTCTGTGTGATGACAGTTTATCCAACCAGAGTAATTCAGACATACCTGAGAAAACTTCAAGCGTGTCTTGCCTGCCTGAGGTTCTCTCAGAAGCCCCCCAGAGAGTACGAGTGGGACCAGTGACCTGTGTGGTTCAATCTTGGATCCTGTCATTTTGTCCAAACACGTCAGGGTAATATGGAAAAAAGGAGATGCTATTGGCAAGGTGGGCAGGGAGAAAAGAAACATCATTCTTATTAACAGTCATAAAATCATACCATCTCACATGTATTCAGCGCCTCTTGCATGCTGGGCACTTGTTAAATGATTTTCATGCACATTTTCGTTGCATTAATAACACTGCTTTTCGGTGAAGAAGAGAGATTGCATTCTGTGTCCATGCCACATTCTGGGAAATTTCCTTTTCACCGTGAATGTGTCGCCCTTCTGTTCAAATGTGTGTGAATCACAAGGTAATGGAAACCAGTCAGAACCAGGAACTTCTCAACTAGTTACACTTGGCTGGCCATGTGAGGAGAAGACCAATTGTAGCACACGAAAGCAATGCCTTTCTGATCAGAAGGTGAGTGTGTGCAAAGTATTCTCTCAGGAAAACATCAAAGTGAAATCCCTCCAAGCTAAGTCCTTCATGAACTCTGACCCTGCCTCTAGTTCCACTTCCTGCCCATACCTGTGAGGGAACACATAGGTCATTCCTGTTTTGCCACATAAAAAAAAAATAGCAGTATGAATAATTTAAAAGCATACCCAATGAAGCGCTTCTTTCCTCAAAATAATTGCATGGTACATTCCACTTGGGAAAAGAGAAGCATTTTTTCAGCTTACTTTCTAGTCGTATTTATTTTAAAATATTTGTTGACCCAATGGCCATATTGACCCCTCTTCTTGCTGCCTCCCACTATAGAAGCTGGAAAACCAGGCACTTGCTTTCCCAGCATCCCTTTCAGCTAGCGGTGGTCATGTCACCCAGATATAGCCAATGAGACATAACTTGATGTGGCTCTGGGGAAGGATCTTACTTTCATTATAAAAGAGACAGAAATGGTTGGTGCTGCTTCTTTCTCCTTCCTCTTGTCTTGAACATGTTTTTGATGCCTAGCAATGTGGCAGCTCCCTTGGGACTATAGTCGGTGAGAATGAGAACAAAAGCCAACATGCACAGGATGGAGGGGAAAAGAAGGAGAGAACCTAGGTCCTCAAAAACTTCACTGAAAAAATAAATTAAAAGCTAAAGGGAGGGAAAGTGTCTCACTGAGCACCTTAACCAACACCAGTACAGTTGTAGTTTTCTCGTAATAGGAGGATATAACCTCGATGTGTTCCACTATTAGTGGGTTTCCGTTACTAGCAGCCAAATTCATGCCTAACTGATACAATTATGTGCCAGATTCTGCACTGGGCATCGTGACTGTGAAGATGTAGAAATCATAGCCTTAGTTCAGGTGGCTTATAATCCATTTGAAGAGACATATATAAGAAGGACCATAGATCCTCCCCAGTGTCACTCCCATATTTTACAAATAACGACACTGAGACCCACGGTGCTTAATTGACTTGTCCAGTGTCACACCTATTAGGTGCAGAGGAAGAACTTGAGCCCAGTTCACTGAACCTTCAGATTGGTGACGTTCTATCTCACCAGTTCTGAGGCTTCATAGACCATCTCTTCACCTTTGCCCTGCTGACCTCTTCAGACACACACCCTGAAACCTCACCAGGTTCTGGTGAATATATTCAGGAAAGAAGAAAAACTCTCTGCACTCAGATGGCCAGCCTGGCGCTGTTCCTTTTCTCCACACCTTCAGAACAACCAGACTAACAAAAGAAGATGGACAGAAAACCCCCAGGGAGCTTGTACAAAATACACAAACCTGCAACATGTAGAGAATAGAATCTAGGGGCAGAAGTGATATAACATTCTTTACCCCTAGGATTATAGAAAATTGATGCTGGAAGAAACTGTACAGGAGAGGTCCTCTGACTCAGCCTCTGCTTTAGAAAAGGAATTAGGAAGTCTAAATGCTGACAGAATTCAAAAAGCCTCAGATTTGAAGCCCAGGGAGGAAAATAGAGAAGCAGCCACGTGTCTCACTTAGAAAATGAATCCAGTAGGGTTCTGGCCCTTCTTAAGTAACGGTCTCAAATGGAGTGGGTAGCAACTCCCATCACAGCCTCCAAACCACCATCACCCACCAAGGCCACCCAGAGATAAATCCAGGGGGGCAGCAGCATCTGGAAGATTAGATGGTCCTGCGTTAGGGCCCTACTAGTATACT